TACCTATATATCTAAACGAATCTTTAGTGGCTCGAAAAGGCATTTATTATTTCGGACTGGACATTTCTAACACTGTGCCCGCCCATTGCGAACAGTAAACTACGCCAAATGTTACTCACTTCTTTAAAGTGTTTGACGCACAGCGTAGTTCCAGTATTGCTTTAAAGAAGACAGCTTATATGCTTCTTTAACACATAAGCTTCGGATGGCATTAGTACTAAATGCGCTAAAATTAAAATTACTTCTTTCGTAGTATATTATCGGCCTACTTATCTATAGACGGTAGACGATATAGTCCGGTCAAATTAGCTTCAAAAATAGGGGTAAGGTTACATTAATTCGCATCTAGCTGAAAATTGGTATGAATGTTGGGAACTCTATTACACACAATTTGTCAATTATCCACATGAATCCAACGTGTGGAAAAAAAAATTTCAAGGTCAACTGTTGCAAAAATCGGTTTTTTGAGTTTACCAGCTAAACAGTAAGTTTTATTATAAAAATAGGTGAGACAAAAATTATTCATTATGCAATTATCTATAAAAATTGTTCATACACTTTTTTTTGCCTAAGAATCACCATTTCGGAGATATAGTTTGAAAACTCAAAAAACCGATTTTTGCAACATTTGACCTTAATTTTTTTTTACACGTTGGATTCATGTGGATAATTGACAAATTGTGTGTAATAGGGTTCCCAACATTCATGCCAATTTTTAGCTGGGTGCGAATTAATGTAACCTTGAATATCTATTTTGACCGGACTTATAGCTTTACTAGCGATAATTTGACACGCAGAAAAGAGGTTGTGACGATAAATTTTTATGCGCAGCTGAAGGAGCGTACTTAATTCAAAGTTCGAAAACTAATTTTAGGATATTTTAGTAAAAAGGTGTATCACTCGGGTGTGGGATAAGCAGAAGACTACAAGCCAATGCAGTTCTACTTGTACTGTATGAATGAAACGCCCAGCAGGTACCTAGTGCATTATAATGCGGTCTCATTAGATCGTAAAATTTGCTGTTCCCAAGTAGCTGCTACTATAGGTATGTCAACTCTACTATTCAATATTGCTACTACAAATGCAGGAGGATTAATTATCAACACATTTGTAGTGTCACGATACTTCGTCACGTTTTACGATCAGAAACATACACTTATCATTGTATCCAATGTTTACAGAGATTATGCAAATGTTTGATAGTAAATTGTTATTGTGAGCTTCACGCATTTATCACAAGACGACTGTTGAATCAATTAGGAATTAATAAACGATCTCCGCTTGCTAAACGTACATCCACCTACCATAATGTGCTACTGCTGGGGCATAGGCATCCCGTTTGCGTGGCCAGTCTTTGACGGTTTCCGCAATACCTTCCGCACTCCCGATACGCATTATGGGGACCTCGGTCCTCATAATGCGTGCCTGGTAACGAGTATTGTCTAGTTTTTATTGAGTAAAGCCATGTGCAAATTATCGAGTGCATAGTGCGACAAAGATCTTTATGAATTTATGAAAATTGGAACTAACGCCTCCGTCTTTGTGAACGCCATAATTTGTGTCTTTTACGTAGACAGCAGCACTTTCCCTGAACTGTCAATGACATACATAAGATTCTTGATACTCTGTAGCGCTAGATAAAGTGGACAGGGAAGACTACGCAGATAACGTCGTGTTGCTCCCCCGGTGGGCGAGGGTTTCGTAAGGCCATTTCCCAGACACAAAAAAGGCATCCTGTATGGACGGAATGCATCCTGTATGGACGGAATAGGAAGTACGAGTCCATGATACACTACGTAGGCCGAATGTCGGTTAGTGGGAGCTAAAAACTGCGGATTTAGGCGTAGGAGGAGCTCGATATAATATTTTCACCCATCTTATAATCGGGCATATTGAAGATTGGTTAACTTTCACAATCACAATCTCAACGCGTTAAAGACGGCGCCATCTTATTTTGCAAAACATTTGATTATATCTCCCCAATACAAAATTTTATGTTACATTTTCTAAAAAAAGTTATGTAGGTCTCATCTATTAGGCGGGAGAATTAGTTGACGCCATGGAGAGGACAGTGGGCAACCTCCTGGTCCGTTTCAAGCGTCAAACTGATGAGTTAAGAAGGACGAATGCCGACAACGCGGCAATGAAGAAGGAAGTGGCGACCCTGAGAAAGGAGGTAAACTCCCTGAAGGGGCTCGTGGAAAAAAAGGGGCTGGCGCAGGGGCCGCCAGCACCTAAAACCGGACTGACGAAAGAAGACGTCGAGCAGCTGAAAGGCTCGCTTATGACTTCCATAAGCGAGATGGTCGGCGCTCGGTTGTCTGCACTGGAGGCGAAACTCCTATCATCGGAGCAGACGAGGCCGTCCCCGACGGCCGCCCACCATGAGGAAGAACGGACTGAGACGACGTGGAGCACCGTCTCCCGCCGTGGGCAGAAAAAGCCAAAGAAGGCTGCAACCGCACCAGCAACTGCACCTAAGCCTACGGTGCAGCCCGCTGGACAGCCAAAGGGCAAAAAGAAGGAGGGAAGAGCCCAAGTGGAGAAAAAGGGCGCTGGCACAAAAGCTAGAAAGGAGCCAAAGCTTAGGACGCCAACCACGGCTGCCATAGCCCATAAATTGAAGCCCAGGGCGGTGGAGCTGGGCCACAAGTACGTTAACATCGTCGAGATGGCGAAGGCGGCCATCCCGTTGGACACAGTGGGGATTCCCGGAGGACTTGATATCCGGGAGAGTCAGACCGGGGACAGACTTATTCTGGTCCCGGGCCCGGACTGCGACGCGAAGGCTGACAGGCTCTTCGTGAAAATGGTGGAACTCCTGGACGAGTATGTGGAGATAAGAAGGCCGGAGCAAACAGTGGATCTGCGAAGCTCCGGCCTAGACGAGACGGTCACCATGGCCGAGCTCGTGGAAGCCGTGGCGAAAAAGGGGGGCTGCACCAACAACAAGGTGACGGCCGGGGAGATCCGCCCCGGACCAGGGGGGGCCGGATTCACTCGAGTCCGGTGCTCCTTAAGGGTTGCCAAAAAGGTGGCCCATGAGGCAAAATTGAAGGTAGGATGGAGCATCGCGAGGGTGAAGGTTCTGGCTCCTCTCCCAGTGCATTGTTTCCGATGCCTGGGCAAAGGACATACTGCCCAGAGATGCCCTTCGGAGGTGGACCGGAGCCGCATGAGCTACCGGTGTGGGGTAGGGGCACAGGGTGGCAGATTGCCGCGCTGCGCCCCGCTGCGCCGTATGTAAGGATTGTGGTCGACCATCAGGCCATATCATGGGGGGGAAAAGGATGCGACCCTCCTGCCGTCAGAGGCAAGACCTCTGGGGGGCGGGTCGCTGAGTCCTTGGCGCCAGAGCCGGGGCCCTCAGCTAGGAGAATGTCCGAGTGATTCAGATCGCTCGGACGTATCCTGGTAGCCTCTCGGCACTCGTGGCTCCCCGCCTCTCTCCTCGGAGAGAGGTCCGGGAGTCGCGGGTGGCGGTGGGTCGAGGGGATCCGGCGCTCACGCTGACGGCGAGGGGAGAGGGACGGGGAGAACTACGCTCCCCCTCCCGCTCCCCCGGGAACCAGTGGCTAGACGTAGGGGGCGTCTAGTCGCATTGCACGGTTCCTGGGATGGGTGGTGCCCTTCATGTCCCGGGGCACCGCACGTCGGGGGGTGTCAGGAAACGGAAAATCACCTTGCGGGTGTGCGGTTAGTCTTCTCAGGATACCGCAACCCCACCCGCACTCCTGACCCGCAATGCTGGGACTACGGTCCTGGCAATGCGGGTCAGGTGACACGGTGCAGGGATATTGTCTGGTTTTTAGTGGCCCTGTTCAGGGCGTAGGTAGGGCCCTGTACACTTCATCTAGCCTCAGGGCTGGCTGAAGTGGACAGGGAGGAGTCCCACATGCCTTCTTCTCGCTCCCCCAGTGGTTGAAGGATGCGGAATGCATTTTCCAGACAAAAGGTCTCATCTATTAGGAAAACAAAGTTAGTCCATCATCTATTTATATATAAAAATCTCGTGTCACAGTGTTTGTAATAAAACTCCTTCGAAACAGCTTTGTCGATTTTTTGTTTGTGTATAAGTATTTGATAGGTCTGAGAATAGATTGTAGGCTATTTTTATACCCTTAGGTGATCATGGTGGCTCTCTATAGATTTATTTTTGTTTTTTGGACATTTTAAAAATTTACTCTCTTCTACTATACCAACCAATCCATATATTTATGACGGTACGAAGTTTGCTCGGTCAGCTAGTTTACTATATATATCTAAATATATTCATCATCATCATCAGCATTGTCCCCACTACTGGGCACAGGCCTTCCCTATGGAGATAGATCTCAAGATATTAAATTTTAGGTCAACCATCCCAAGGCCGGCCGTTGCAAAAGTTGCTTAACTTTCGCGATCAAAGACCGAGCGCGTTAACCACTTGCGCCATCGTGCTCCTCAAATTCAAAATGTATACTAATTACTTATACAATATTTTTTTTAAGAATAGGCCCGACAGTTGACTTAACCTCACCCGATGTTAAGTGACGGTGGAGTTCAGATGCGAAGATAGCTTGTACAGCAGGTGTACCTGCCACACCAGCCATCCTCACCTTGCGCCAGCCTGCATATTGCGTCTTCATGCCTCTTAAAGGATCCTGGGTTATAGGAGGAATACAACACATGGCTTTCCATTTGCGGATAGTGTGAAAAAGAAATACGTAACCAAATTTCTTTGTTCGCGTGGGAATTGCAGGAACAGGAAGGCCAAACGGGAAGAGTTGGGTGATGTTAGCTGCTCAACTGATGTTGGTCAGGCATTGCACATTTCATATGTGTGACTTAGCCTCCTATTTCATTTGCACAATGTAGGCTTTCATACTTTTGTGATTGCAGCGCCGGTAGCGTCATCTCCTAACGAGGCGAGTATTACTTCCTCTGGTTAGTTATTTTGGTTATATGTGGGGCGTATAGATGCCACTGCCATAGGAATATTAAAAATGGAAATTACTTACATTGCACTCTCAGCTTGACTATCGCGCTGGACGTCTCCCCTCTGACGTTAGTAGCTTTGCACGAGTAGCCACCGGCCTCCTCGCGCGTCACCTTCTGCAGCACCAGCGAACGGGTGCTCAAAATGATCCCCGATGTCATGTTCTGAGTCACCGGCCTGTCCTAGATTATATTGTTTATATTGCAAAGCGACTTTATTATTATGTCTCCAATAAACTTCTATCTTCTATTTATAAGTCACTATGTATAAGTGCAGTAAAAGCCTATCAGAGAAAATGGTAAATCCAGCAACTATGGCTGCCAAGACCTAGACCTTCTTCGCGCGTCACCTTCTGCAGCACCAGCGAACGGGTGCTCAGAATGATTGCCTGTCCTAGATTATATTATTATATTGCATAGTGATTTTTATTATTATGTCTCCAATAAACTTCTATCTTATTTATGCTATATACACCATGAATTTTGAATTACCTGAGAAACTTTACTAGCTAATTCAGACAACCGAAAACTGTGGTCTCGTGAGTTTTATAATAACCGCGCCACAGTTTTCCCCCGATTCGTGTGTTTTTAGCATTGTGCAACCGCTGAGGGGATATGTTTCGTCTATATAATTTAGAAATAAAATTTGTGTAAAAATAATTTTATGCATGTAGAATTAAATATGTTTTCATATATTTTTTTTGCATTTAGCTGCTAGATTTTTAATCTTTTATCTAATTCAAAATCTAAAGAAAATTTTTACTAAAAAATATTCACGCGGACCAGGCAAGAGGCAGATCTTTTTTAGAATTAAGTAGACAAGTGACTCCGCTCCACCTATATTTTTGGTGGTATAGTCCAGATGCGAAGAAAGCTGGTGTTGAAATTCTGAATTACCAAATAAGATAAAGAAAAAAAATGATTCGACAAATTGAGCCCTTGGAAATCGATTGCTTTGATGAATTGTGACATGAACAGTGTTCACTTACATTGTGGTACCACGATATCCGATGTTCCCTCGGGTTGGCCTTGACGTTGCACTCAAAGTACACATCATCGCCTTCCTTTATATCTTGCGGATTGAGAGTGCTGCCCAGGCTGAGAGTGACCACTGGGCTATCTGGATAAAAAGAATGTTAGCTAAGTAGGTGCAAATTTTCTAAAATCGGTTATAAGGCATGTGCATGTGTGCTAGTCTCCTTTCCTCTTGATTTAAAACCGGTCATGTTTGAGTTTGCCTCGCGCTCGGAGGTTTACGTACTATTAAAAAGGTTAACAATACGCTAAGAAAATTACAATCCTGAGATACAAGCATGAACTTTGACAGATTAGTAACGGTATTTCCATGTAAAATTTTCTATGGAAGGCGCCAGTTTGACGTCCGGTAGGAGCAATGGTTAGTTCCCAAGAAAAAAAAACACTATCAGTACCCCAAGCATGAACTTGGACAAATCCGTAATCGTATTGATTACGGATTTGTCCAAGTTCATGCTTGGGGTACTGATAGTGGTTTTTTTTTCTAGCACTGGTTATAACTTTTTCTCGATATTGGAATATACACGTTTTGAGACAATTTGTCCTGTTTTGGACAGGCAGGCGGACGCCGGAGTGTAATTATAGCAGGGGAAACCCAAGCGGGGATTTTGGGATTTCCTCGAGCGCGGCAGAATAATATAAGGGGGGCAACCTTGCACCTTATGAAGTACTCCCACCACAACCGAGCCCTCTTTATAGGGTCGAACGTCTAGGGCAACCGATAAGATTAGTAAAAAAATTATCATTGGAAAAACTCGAACGCGTCAGCTTAAGGTAAGGTACGTTAATTACATGCAGAAAAGGGTGCATTTCAATAATCTGACAATTTGAGCTTGACACAAGACAAAGCCCCAATTTTCACCACAGCCACAAAATTGCAAAAAAAAAGTAACTTGGACATTCTAGAGCGCCTGTTTTTTATTTCGAAGAAAACTAGTAAAGAATTATGTAAATAATATAATCTGCTGATTTGCACAAGTCAAAGTACTCGTAGCTAAAGTCATTAGTAAATTGTGGTGCATGCAGTGTCGCTGAGAACTACGTATTTCTCACTGCACACTACTTTGTCCTGAATACCTTTTTTAATACTCTTTCTCTCTCACTCTCTAGCACCGTCCCCGTAGTACGTTCCGCCAAAAGATAAATATGAATTGATTTTATTTTTTCAAAAATTCAGGAAAGTCTTACATATATTTGTCAGATTATGGGTAATTACGATAAGAGCGTCAAGATGAAGCGTCTGTATAATAATATTATACCCTCAAGTATTTCAAGCACAGTTTTTTTTTTTAAATTTGTCATCTCTTTTGGTCGCTTCAGCCGGGCGGTAAAATCGAATATACATCTGTAGATGAATCATCATCATCAGCCTATTAATGTCCCCACTGCTGGGGTACAGGCCTTCCCTATGGATGGAATAGGAAGATAGGCCCATGACCCACCACGCGGGCCCAATGCGGATTGGCGGGTGCTAACGACTGCAGGTGCAGCTGGGACCAACGGCTTAACGTGCCTTCCGAAGCACGGAGGAACTCGAGATAGAAGATTTTGGTCACCCATCCAATGACCGACCACTTCGAAAGTTGCTTAAATTCAACGATTGCAGCCAAACGGGCTAACCACTTGCGCCATGAAGCTCCTCGTAGATGAATGTTCGGCAGTAATTATTTCAATCAAATACTGCCGACCGACTATGCCGGCCCGATTATGTGTGTAGCCAAACGCGCTCGAATCATTTTTTTTATTCCTTATTTCTACCCCTTCGTAGGGTTACCCCCACAATACAAACCGGCAGATTAATATTTTTCCGTTATCAGAAACGCGCAGGGTGCATATAATATTAATATCAAACGCGCTCGATTATTTCTGTGTAGCTGTTTTTTTAACGTTTTTGAAAACCTGTACACGCTTCTTCCACCAACCAGTGAAATAACATCATATAAACATAAACTTCTTTTTTCTTAGCATGTAACATTCACAATCTCATAGGTCCCCACTACGATCGAGTAAATCTCTATTTAGCATCTTACCTCCCCTACTAATCATGCTAATGCATGATTCCATAATTACCCTATATTATTATTGAGCAATTGATAAGTTCAATATTAAACATCTCAATACATAATCCTCTCATCTGTATAGCAAAAATTATCATTGTTAGATACAAAATTGAATATTTACAGCATTTTTATTACCTAGTAATAAGAGCGAAGTGGTATTGAAAGTGAAAATTGGTTCACTGTCATTGTCTCTATATGATCGTCCAAATAGCGACTTCTGCAAAAGCAGCTTAAATATACCGTAAAATACACCCTCTTTCCATTTGCTGTTAAATGTAATACGCTTTCATTTGAATTCTTAGTAGTAGAAGTATAAAATGCTCATTTTCAATTGGAATAATATAATTTTTACATTTTCAGTTCTTTTTAGGGTTGCGTACCCAAAGAGTAAAAACGGGACCCTACTACTAAGACTCGCTGTCCGTCTGTCTGTCACCAGTTTGTATTTCATGAGCCGTGATAGGTGGACAGTTAAAATTTTCACAGATGATGTATTTATGTTGCCGCTATAACACCAAATACTAAAAACCGATTAAAAGAAATATTTAAGTGGGGGGTCCCATACAACAGACGTGATATTTTGCCGTTTTTTGCTCGTACATAACCCTTCGTGCGCGAGTCCCATTCGCACTTGTGCGGTTCTTTTATTGATAGCGAATAAAAGTATGTTTAAGTCAAACCTTCATTTATATTAACTTTTCTAGTATTAACGATATTTACTTTTACTACTACTAGGTTTTGTCATTTCTATACAATAATACTTAACCAACAAGGCCTAGAACCAAAGAGTCGTTACTTTGTGAACTCGACGAGATTGCGTCCTTTTATTACACTCATACACCGAAGTGGATAAGTTTTTGTAAAGTTGACCTTAATCGGTATACCAAATATTTTATAGTAATAGTATGTAGGCCACAGGCCAAACTTCAAGTAACTTTCAAATACCCACAATGACAATTATGTCCTCCAATATTGCCACCCGCCCTAGCCCCAACTTATCGACCTCTGCGATTAGGCAAAATAGTTTCCAACTAAACCGTCGATGGCTATTTTACATCACTGCTACTGAATACCAACGGCGCCTTTGTGATTCAAAACTGTTGAACACTCCAGGATACAATATTCCCTGGCATAATAATAGTTAAGTGTTTGGCTACGTGCCGCGATGCTTCAGTAACTAATATTGTGTTAACTTGTAACTATATGAGAAGAAACGTAACACGGTGAAGTGGGCTGTAAAATATTAAAGTGAAGGTTTTTGTGAATCCCATATGACCTAATTATTTTTTGGGAAGTAATATATATTATGTCTTAATCCATATAAACGGCAATGTGTGCTTAAATTCATTAAAATCCGATTAGACCCCGTTTTGCATGATTCAGTAACAACATTTAAACATACCTACCTCCTTATTAATAAACGAAGACTAGGCTTGGATTAGTTACTCCATGTTTTGTCTCTGTTCATTGAATGACAAATGGCATTTGAGTGACATGAACAAAACACGGCGTAACTAGTCCAAGTTTATCCCTTGTTTAATGGGGATGAGGTCTTCACCTATGTCATTGCCGTTTTTCATGAACTAAGTTAACGCTCTTTCTTTAATATTTTATTATTTCTATAAATCAAAATAATTACCCGTACAATCAATGCATTTTTGCTAACGTAGTGGTAGCTTATTGATGCTGCTTTCTGAAAAAGTCTGCTGGACGGGAGGCAAGAAGTTCTTCAAAAGCATTTTGAACCGCCTCTCGGTTTTTCCCCGCTAAGGAGTTATCCAAATTCTCGCAAAGTAGAAGTCAGTAGGGGCATGGTCTCATGAATACGGTGGATAACGGAGAACTTTCAACACCAGCTCTTGTAACTTGGAGACCGTCTGCTATGCAGTATGACGTCGCACGTAGTCGTGCAGGAGCAGCGGATCCGAACGATTAACCAAAGCTGGTTGGAGATGTGCCATCTTGCCGTCTCCACCATTGTGTTCAGTTCTTCACAGTACACATCTGCAGTAATGCTCATCCTGTTTGGTAAAAAGCTGTGATGAATGACACCGGTGCTAGACTACCAAACGATGGCCATCACTTTTTTAAGGGTCAGTTTTCGTTTGGGGCATTGTTAAGGTACTGAACCAGGATCTAAATAACTTGTTGAGCGCTTGCGATTGTCAAATATATTTCATTTTCATCGCAAGTAACAATGCGTTTCAATATGTCTTCGTTTCTGCGTTTGTGTGCCTGTTGGGCAGTGCATGGCTCGACTCGACGCGCACTTCGCGTTGGCGATCATTCAAATTGTGGGGCACACATTTGCCAAGCTTTTTTACCTTGCCAAACGCAAATGGGCCAATATTGTTTTTATGCTAACATGGAAAGCTGCTGTTAATTCTGCTGTAGATTGAGAATCATCAAAATTCAAAATCGCTTTCTATTCGTCATTGTTGACTAAAGTTTTCGATTGACCACTGGGTTCATTTCTAAGGTCGAAATTTCCAGAACGGAAGCGGGCAAACCAATAACGGGCGGTGCGATTGTTAGTAGTGTTCGCTCCGTATTCAACGTTGCGTTGCGTGGGGTTTCTGCCGCTTTGCTGCCACGACGGTACTCATACTCCGTATATTGTTTTAAACTTTCATGGTCACTAACATTATAATAATATAAGTTATTTACGGGATTGTTACCATGTACCTTGTTTTTAGCATACTCCTTTTTTTTTATAGATAGATCCGACAAATGACTCCACCCCACCTGATGTTAAGTGAAGGTGAAGTCCAGACGCGAAGATAGCTGATACAGCAGTTCTAATTGCCACACCAGCCATCCTCACCCTGTCGGCCTGCAAGTTGCTTCTTCACGCCTCTTTTAAAGGATCCCAGGTTGTAAGAGGGAGGGAACACGTGAGCGGGCAGAGAATTCCATTTACGAGTAGTACGACAAAGAAATGAGTCACCAAATTTCTTTGTATGCGTTGGAATTGTAGCCACAGTTAGACGGTGACAACGTAAGCCAGCGCGCGTGGTCCTCTGAAGGAAAGGGGATGGTGGAATAAGAGAGAATAATTCCTCAGAAGACTCGCCGTGGTACAGACGATAGAACGCGCTTAGTGACGCCACGTCACGGCGTAATTGAAGAGGATCGAGGTGTTTAGTCACCTCTTCATCGCCTATGATGCGGATTTCGCGCCGCTGTAACCTATCCAAAGCATCGAGCAAGTACTTGGCGGAGCCATCCCAGAGGTGCGAGCAATATTCCACGCAAGACCGCACCTGCGTCTTATATAACAAGCACAGTTGCTCGGGCGTGAAGAAACGCCGCACCTTGTTCAGGACTCCGAGTTTGCGTGAGGCTGTTTTTATCACACTTTCGATGTAATTCTTTGGATTTAAGTCACAGCGAATCTCCATACCGAGCATGGTGATACTGCTCTCTAGCTCCAGTGGTGTGCCCTGAAGAGAAGGACATAAAAGGAATGGCGACGTTTTTGCCGTGAAAGCACAGACCTGGGTTTTCTTAGCATTGAACTTAACCAAGTTCTTGGTACCCCATACAGAAATATGGTCCAAAGCCCGATTGAGCTCAATGACAAGATTCTCCCGTTTCTTCTTGGTTACCGCCTGCCCAGCCGCTGCTTGTCCGAGATACCCCGCATGCACTGTACTATCGTCTGCATAGCAATGAATATTCCCAAGAGGAATTAAGTCATTGATATGTAGCAGAAAGAGAGTGGGGGATAGGACGGAGCCGTGGGGAATGCCGGCATTCACTGACATGAACCGCGAACTGTTACCATCCGTAAGGACACGAATTCTACGCTCATGCAGGAAGTCAGCTACCCAAGAACAGAACTGGGCCGGCAGACCGTATGCCGGAAGCTTGGAGAGAAGACTTTTGTGCCAGACCCTGTCGAATGCCTTGGCAATGTCAAGGCTTATAGCCAACGACTCGCCTCGCTTGTCGATAGCCTCACCCCAGATATGAGTCAAGTACGCTAGAAGATCACCCGTCGATCGTTTCGGTCTAAAACCATATTGACGATCATTGATCAGGGAGTGATCCTCTAGGTAGCGGGTCAGATGGTTGTTAAGGACCTTTTCTAGGACTTTACATAATACTGAGGTGACTGCTATTGGCCGGTAGTTTGCCGGGTCTGAGCGATCTCTTTTTTGGGTACCGGTTGCACGTTAGCAACTCTCCAAGTCTCCGGCACACGCCCCAAAGAATACGAGCACTGGTACAAACGCGTGAGCACGGGAGACAACTCCGCTGCACATTTTTTCAGTACTACTGCTGGGATGCCATCGGGTCCACTAGCTTTCCAGACGTCGAGTGATTGCAATTCGGCACGAACCTCACGCTGCCTGATTTTGATATCCGGCATCGTTGTGCCACAATGAGGTAATGATGGTGGCGGTGCATTGCAATCATCGATTCGGGAGTTAGCCGCAAAGAGTTTTGCCAGTAAATCGGCTTTCTCCTGCGGCTTATGAGCTAGTGTTCCGTCTGGGCATCTCAGAAGTGGCAGCGAGGGCTGGCAGAAGTTCTTTTGCACGGCCTTGGCCAAACGCCAATAGCTACGGGAGCCCGTAGGATGCGTTATAAGTTCGTGACCAACACGTGCTACGCGCTGGGCATCCGCTCTGATGTAAGCCTTCTTACAGGCCTTGGAAGCAATATTGTAGGCTGCTTTTAGTGAATCGACCCCGGGATCCTTAAGAGCGCGGCCTCTGATCCAAGCACGATATGCCGCTTGCTTACGCGAAGCAGCTTCAGCACAGTCGTGATTGAACCAGAGGTTACGTGTGCCCTTACTGATGAGATTGGAATGAGGAATATAGTATTCCATACCCATTACAGTAATAGCAACGGCGCTGGCCGATAGGTCCTTGTCACTGAAGCAGCGCTGCTTCCAAGGGACGGACGCAAAGTAGTCACGCATACCGTCCCAATCTGCCGACCCATAATGCCAAATCCGGCGTTTTACCACCGTTGGACGCGGAGGCTTGGCCTGTGGCGCTTTGGCAGATATCAGGCAGTGATCTGAAGAGCCCAGGGGGGCTCCTACCACAACCTGATAGCCCTGTGGATGGGTCGTGAGCAGAAGGTCCAGTAATGAAGGCGCTTGACTTGAAATATCTGGAATCCTGGTGGGCTGATCGACCAGTTGCTTCAAGTCCTGCGTGAGAGCGAACGCGTGAGCAGAGATCCCTGCATGGTCAGTTTTCGAGGAACTTAACCACAAATTGTGGTGAGCATTAAAGTCCCCCAAAAACACCAATTCTGCATTGGGAAATTGCTCCTGCGCGTCATCTGCTGCCCGACTAAGATGTTCGAAAAGTCGAGTTGTCTCAACATCGCCAGTGTGGGATCTGTAGAGGCACACGTAGACTCTGGCCTGGGGACCAGAATCGACGTGTACCCCCAACATGGAGAAGGAGGGATCTTCCAAGCAGCGGAGACGGCGACAACAAACATCCGCCCGAACATACAGGCATACACCGGCTTTCGCTTTGAAGGACTCTTCAAGCACGTAGCCGGGATAATTAAGGTAGCCTGTGTCAGCAGGCGGAAGTATTTGTGTCTCCGTCAGGAACAACAATGCTGGCCGTGTTGTCTCAAGATGGTGGTGGACAGCATTGAGGTTAGAGTGGAGTCCGCGTATGTTGCAGAACTCGACCTCAAACAGCGTTGAAGGCGTGGGGGTGTGCACCGCTGTACGTCCAAACTTTGATTGGAGAGCTGCCATTATGGAAGTGATAAAGAGACGTGAAACGAGTGGACGTTGTCGCGACAAGACCGGGCAAATTAGGGAGGCATGTTTCCCCGAATAATTGCCTGCAGAGGATATACGCCGACCCGCCGGACGGAAGGGCCCCCGCACCCCCCCCGGAAGTGGCCGCCGGGACCCCACGCCCCGGTCACCAACCGGCACGACGGTCCACCCCGAGATTATGCGTGACGTGATGGGGCAGCCTCGCGAACTGGTTAGGAACGCTCGGGCCCCTGTACTGTGCCACGGGCGGCCAGCGGGACAGCCGTTTCTACGGGTCTCCCTGGCCGGCGGGTCGATGCAGTCCTCCCGGCATCGGTTCGACGGATGCCTCGCCCTGGACCGAATCCGTCGCGACAACCTACACTCGAGCCCTGGTTGTACGCTGGCTGACCCCGAAACGCGCGAGAAGCACTTCACGGGTTTTTCACCATGCGCGCGGTGGTAACAAACCAGGCGGGTGTTAGGCACCCTACCACCAGCAGAGCGGATGGAAGCTCCGATATCCCTTAGTCGCCTCTTACGACACCCACGAGAAGAGAAGGGGCGGTGAGTTGTATTCTTTCTCCGTCACCGCACGGATAATTCTCCGTCACCGCACGGATATTCGGACTCCGTAATCATTCGAATTTTTAACGTATTTATGATGAGGAAGTAACAAACGTACAAAGGCGGAACGCTAACCATTAAACAAATGACTAATTTTCAAAAAAAAATTGAATATTTAAAAAAATATTTTGAACTTAGAATTTTTAACGAAAAAAGAAAAAAAAGTGGGACATGAAATAGCCAGTATGGAGGAACGGCAATTTCATAGGTAAATATCTATTGTAAGCGTTTAAAATATTAGAAAGATCATTAGGAAGTAGGATAATTATAGTTTATTTGTAATTACAAACTAAACACAAAAATTACAGAGAAAAAAAAGTCTTATACCTTTTTAAAATTTTCATATAAAACTCAACTTATGTTATAACGATTCTTCGAAAAATCAGTCATTATTGGTACATATTCTACTTACTTTCTCAAACTGCCTTTTTATCTTTCCCGCAAAAGACACCCCTCCATCGATTTGTCCACATTCATTAATCAGGAATGAAAATAACATCACTTTACTGGGCCCGTTGTGTACTTATTCAAGTTTTTCAGATAGCTCGGTGAGGAAAACGGACAAATGAGAGGTTTGGAAAAAAGGTACCTACCTACTTAAACGTATTTCCTTTTTCCATGAAATTCCTTCATGTACAAAAACTTTGTGGATATTTTAAGCTTGGAGTTAACTCCTTAATACTTACTTACATTCAAAATATCAATAGATACCATAACAATATCCCACATTATTATCGATAATGTAATTTAAGATAATATCATATTGAATTTTAGAAATCATTAATTGAAAATTGTTTTTATGGTTATTTAACAAATTCTACTTAGCTCTTTTTCAATTTTGTTGATTTGGAGGTTTGTCGCTTACCATATCACACAACCGCACACACGGGTTGAAATATATCTATAAAAAGTTTACATGGGCGAAGTCAAAGGCATGAGCTAATATCAAGCAGCTTAGTGATGTAATGAAGCTGCTCCATAAAATCAAACATTAAAAACTTATCACATGAGGTAAAGAGTTTTCCCAATAAAAATAGGAATAGATAGGTAACTGTACAACTTTAATTGGATTTACTGAGGCAGACATTGGAGTTAATCAATAATGCTTCTGCTTTAAAAACAACATTATAACATTAAAATGTGATAAAAAATATTACTTATGGACTTTTTTATGTGTGTATTCAGTCAAACTACGTGGCAGTCCACCTAATGGTAAGTGGTCACTGCCGTCTACGGACAATTGAAGCTCGCGATGCCAACTCTAAACCAAAAGGTTAACCTGCCTTTGAAGACCGTCAAGTTCGTTCCAGATCTTGCTGGTACGCAAGAAAACGGAACGCGCGTCATTTGTGTTAGAAAGCAACTTATATTCACACTTACATACTACGTTGAGCTGAATATGGTCATCGATGGCCTTTGTGGGTAAACTTGGATTTGAAGCAACGCACTTGATCACCGCCCCGTTGTCAGAAGGCATTGGAGTAAGAGTCAGGCTGCTTACTGACCACGTATCGTTCGAATAATCCGTCACCTGCAAAATAAAAAAATACTAAAGCCCACTTTCACCCAAGTTTTTAATTCAAATTAAGGTTTAATCGTGTTTAAAACGTCATTCCATCTTCGTCAAATTGTTTACAATCAAATAAAAATAGAATGAGGCTTAATCACGATTAGCTTTTAAAATTGAATTAAGAACTTCGGCTCAATTACACTTGGTCGTTAGCCCGTATTCGGGTACACAATTTCATTTCATTTTATTACAATTGGTCATCAGCCCGAACACGAGTGCCACTGGAATACGAGTTAATGACTAAGTGTAATTGAGCCATTAGTCGTTTACCCGAATTCAATTGGCACTCGTATTCGGGCTAACGACCAAGTGTAATTGAACCGAAGTTATTAATTCAAATTTAAAAAATTCTATCGGTAGAACTACACTTCGTATCCGTCGGGTTGTGTTGTGACCCATCAGAGAGCGATCTGTTACATATATTAAGTATGGTTAGAGTGAAAACGCTGTCGACATATCGCGACACATAACGACACACAAGTGTAGTTCTAACCGTACTAAATGATTGGAACCGATCGCGTCATATCGCGTTACAACACAATACGTAAGATAAATATAGTTCTACATTAATTCGAGTATTATGACTATAGATGTAGTTTGACGAAACTTGTCTGAATATTGTGTTTAAATAGAAAATAGTTTAGAATTTTTCATTTGATCAAAACCATAAATTCATATTGCATAAAACTTCAGTCCTTTTGATGTTTTATTCTCATTACAACGTATATATCGGACTTTCGTGAATCAAGTTTTCAATTACGCACTCAATTAGCAGACATATTAACTCGGAAAGATCGTCATCTTAACAACTCAAGCTGTTCGGAATCGTAACGTAATTCATCATCATCAGTCTATTAATATCCCCACTGCTGGGGCATTCCTTCCCTATGGATGGAATAGATGGACAGTTGCTTAACTTCAACTATCGTAGCCGAAGCGCTAACCACCCGTGCCATCAAGCTCGTCAACGTAATAGCTTCACAAAAAACACGAGCTTGTTCCGAGACGAGGCGATTACGTTACGATTCCGAACAGCTCGAGTTGTTAAGATGGCGGAAGGAACACTGAACGGCTCGAGCTGATACGGTGACGATCCCTTTCCGAGTTGATATATCAGTTACGAACTTTAGTTCTATTTTCTCACCTTTTCTCTCTCGAAACTTTTGTTGTCCTTGTACCAAATGATTTGTGCAGATGGTCTGCTACCTTCAGCGACGCAACGCAACGTGGTGACTGCTCCAGCGACAAACTGCTGCGGCCGACTCAGTAAAGATACGGAGAGAGGTGCCACTAGTTAAAAAAAATACCATGATTTATTAATACACGTAAATGTATTAAGTACAACCACGTGAATAAGGACAAAACTAATTACATGTGAGTGTGTGACTGGGGTCTACTTTTTATCGTAGAACATTTAATTTCCTAATATTATTATGTATGTCAGCGGATGGCATCGACTAATTTCGCAGAAAATCATTTGGCTTTCACTCATTTGTCAGATATTCAAAATGCATATTTTTTGTTAATTGACGACCTCCGTGGCCGAGTGGTTTGTACGCCGTGTTTTATGGTGTCGCTGACTCGAGAGGTCCCGGGTTCGAATCCCGGTGGGGGCAGATGTTTCTGTGATGAATACGAGCATTTGTATTCTAGTCATGGTTGTTTAATATGTATTTCTGTATAAATATACTTATATATGTACAGATTATGTTTTCTGTCCATCACCCTAGCATCCCATAATACAAGCCTTACAATGCTTACTTTGGGGCTATGCTAATTGGTGTGAGTGTTGAAAATATTTATTATTTATTTATTATTATTTTACACGACTTCAAAAAGGAGGAAGTTCTCAATTCTATGTTTTTTTTGTATATACTGATTACTTCGAGATGTCTGATTCGATCATGAAATTATATTTTTATGTATGTGGAGGTGTGGAGGGATTACTGACAAGTTGTGAATTGAAGGCAAAAAATTGCCTTGAATGACGTTTTGAGGAATGGTTCTTGTCTCTTTCTATAGAGAGACAGAAACAAAATAAGGTGACCATGTTGGAACTTGTGTACAGAACAAAGTAGGTACGCAGAAATGGTGTTCATATTGCACACGTACAATAACTAACCGGTTACTTATTCCCATAACATCTTAAGATATGGCACAAAAAGTACCAAACCGAAGAGCTGGCGAAGAAAACGGTATAATTACATAAAATTAAATTTTACAGGAGCTGAATGAAACTGAATAGCAAACCTCTAAAAATAGTGAGCTTTTGGCGTGGTTTTTAATTTATAAATTTTTGATTGAAAATTGTTTGAGATTCAAATTCAACGGACCCGGACTGTAAAAAAAAGTAGTTTGACTAGATTCGTAATTATACCGTTCTGTTCGCCAGCTCCTCGATATGTTATTGGTATACCATCAGACTCACCCTTCTAGAAAAATAATATTCAATTAATTCTAACGGTTATTGGCAAGTTAATCGAAACATTTGTAACTGAGGTTAAGTATACTTAAAAGAAGAAAATTATACTCACCTGTGGAACTGAACGTTAGAACCAGGTTTCGATATCCATCCATCCACATTTAGGGATGAGAGTTATTTTTTTAATATACTATTCTGCTTGTTTTCAACAGGAGTTTATAATATATATGAAGGTTTTTAAATTAAATTATTAATTAAAAAAAAAACAATTAATTACTTTTTGCTACGCTTCATTTTGCTCATCAATATCTTTGAAAGGATAGAAATGTGAAATGAGAAGGATATAAAACATTACTAGGTCAATGATGATGTTTTGTTTTAAGTGCTCGCTTCACAAATACACGATAGATATATAACTTAATTTTATAACTTCATGGATCCGATTTACGTGTTTTGTTTTTTCTGATGGATGTGGAATAGCTGCACCATTTGATAAAAAAATAATTCAGTTTGGCCCCGTAGTTTTTACTTTATAAGCATTTTGTTTTAATTTACACGATACTTTGTATATATGTAGTGTTTATTATTTTTTCGATAGAAGATACTAACCGTTTGATTCCAAAAGTATTTTCTTAAGTCTGACGCAATAGTTTTAATTTTATAAGCATGTTTATTTACTTTGACGTTGTAATTTTTGTGATACTTTGTGTAAGTATGGCTGTTTTTAGGCCTTCCTATGTGTAGACGCTTTACACTAAAATGGATGAAATAAAAAACTTTTTTAACAAAAACTTTCTAAATACAGAAACGAAAATCGATTTCTAAAAAGTAAAACATAATATCCGGTTTACACGAAATATAAAGAATTTTTTTACCTATTGTAAAAAAAACACTCTCAATGGTGAGACCGTGTGGTTTATTTTTCTACTTAATATTTTTTTCACATTTATAAATCTAGCAGTTAAATGTTTAAAATATAATAACCAACCATGCAAGCAACGTTTATAAACATGTAACCTAATTTTGGTTTTAAGCTATAAAATTATAATAGACCCGTTTAATCCAAGCCGTAAATCGAAACCATAATAATATATTGAACTGCCAGATGAAAACTCAAACCATACATGCATTCATGCTAAAATGAACCGCAAACTCCCCCAGGTTATTCGTATTCAAAATAGGAAATCGTTCTTAATGCCTTCGGATATAAATGAAGATTCATTTATGAATAGCATTCGATAGCTAAACCCACTTAATATAAATTCCTCGGCTATTCATAATGAGAGTTACATAAATTAAATGAAAAAGGGATTTCCGCGTACAAATAATGTGATTTAGCAAGTGCGTACTAAATGAGAGTTACTTTATATGTAAGCTGCAAGGCTGGAAAGTCTTAATAAAGCAAATAGTTTTATAATTACTGACATTACAAATCATGAACAACGGTAATGGGAGAAAAAAATCCCTTTATATAACAAGAATAGTGTGCACGGACCACAATAATCTAAAGTTAAACTTCTTTACTTAAATAACTTAACATTAAAGGGCTGTTTAGGGTAGGTGGTAATAGGTATAAGCCATAGAGATATGGAGCACACGCATCACTCATATAATAATATATAAATTGTCGCGTGTGACGCTCGTAGCGTTTCAGCCTTCTCCGAGTTACCCTCAAACTTTCATGCTCGTCAGGAATAGCTGCGCATGCATCCCACACACACACACACTGTATATAAATCGATAATGGAAAGGCAAAATCGCTTAAACACCACTTTGGTCGAAAATGAGTTATACGAGTATAAATAATTCAATTTACATTCAGATTTTTTTCTGCGTCGATATGGTTATGTATCGTGAAGATTTGAATACTTGTTGGCGCTTAAGCAACTGATTTTTTTAAATATTTTTGTTCACAAAGCTGAAGCGATATAAATTTTGTTTTTTTAAACCAATCGCGCTTGCGCCCTACAATTTGGCGTATAATTTGATGTTTTCTGGACAAAAAATGAATGATGGCAATCCAAGTGCTTTTCGCTTAAGCGACATCTAATTCGTAAAGTAAATACACTAACTTACCTAACTTTTTAATAGGAGGATAATGAGATAATATTATTTAGTGATTATTTTTATGGCGCTACTTCTCATTTACAATGAGACGATTTTTTTGTGAAAAAAAAATCGTTAATCATCGTTTCTGTAAAGTTGAAAGAGGCGTTTAAGTGATTTTGCTTTTTCACTGTCGATATATATATAGTCTTGTGAAGCTCGTGACGCATCTTTTTCATAGGATTATTCCAATAACGTCCAAAAAAAAGTTTCACTTCTCAACAAATAATACATTGAAATAATAATTATTATTATATCTCATTCAAAAACACCTTGAATATGTTTCGTCAAAATCATCAGTATTAGTTCCCCACTGCTGTGGCATAGTCCTTTCTTACACGGAAATTGAGCAGTGACCCACCACGTGAGTCCAGTGCGTATTGGTGGGTGCTAACGACCACAGATGGAGCCGGGACCGACGGAATAGAATAAAGCGCCATAAGACACGGTCCGTATACACATCTTCGGCTTTACTATTTTCATACACGCTGGTTTTTGCGCCTTTTGGCATCCTTAATGCACCGTTAGCACGTTAGCATCAGCAACTTCAAAATGCGAGTGATTCTATAGGGAGACCGCTTAACTGAGTCCTCGCCTGCGGGGTAGAGGGTGTGGGGGAGGGCGAGAACGGGGACCGTGAGAGGTGCGGGCGGCGGGCGCTTGTAATTTTGACAAGAATGTGCCTACCATCCGCAACTCTTATGGTCACCGTTCGCTCGTATATCTGTTTTTTTATGAACAGTTCCGACAGATGACTCCACCTCACCTGATGTTAAGTGGCGATGAAAAACAGAAGCGAAGATTGCTGGTACAGTAGTTCTACATTGCTTCTTCACGCCTCATTTAAAGGATTCGGGTTTATAAGAGGTAGGGAACACGTCAGCAGGCAAAGGAATTTTACAAGTAATAAAGCGAATTATAATTTTCTTTTCAACTTACAGTTCATCTCGAGCCTAACAGTCTTCTCTTGTGGTGGAACCAGTATGGTATTCGCCGCTCTGCACTTGAAAGTGGTATTCAGGTCCTCTCTCTTCAAGTGCTGCAACTCCAAGCGATTCACAACCACATGTGTGTCCGTTTTCACCCCTATGTATTGTGGAGCGGAAGAGCCATCTATGAGCCACGTCACTACTGGCTCTGGTCGACCTGTCAGAAAGATAGAAGAGTGATTGTAATGAGACGCTTTTTACCCTGATCTAGACACGGTTTTAAACCATGTCTGTGTGTGATCGTCAGTTAGGTAAGGACATATGGATGTTTGTTAACGACACCGGCGCGCTTGAGACGGTTTGGGGTCAATAAAAACGTATAGACCGTGCTCGTAATTAAGCTTAGACGCATTTACCCGATTCTAGGCATGGTTTTAAACCATGTCCATCGTCAGTTAGGTAAGGACATATGGATGTTTGTTAACGACACCGGCGCGCTTGAGACGGTTTGGGGTCAATAAAAACGTATAGACCGTGCTCGTAATTAAGCTTAGACGCATTTACCCGATTCTAGGCACGGTTTTAAACCATGTCCATCGTCAGTTAGGTAAGGACATATGGATGTTTGTTAACGACACCGGCGCGCTTGCGATGGTTTGGGGTCAATAAAAACGTATAGACCGTGCTCGTAATTAAGCTTAGATGCATTTACCCGGTTCTAGGCACGGTTTTAAACCATGCCCATCGTCAGTTAGGTAAGGACATATGGATGTTTGTTAACGACACCGGCGCACTTGCAATGGTTTGGGGTCAATAAAAACGTATAGACCGTGCTCGTAATTAAGCTTAGACGCATTTATCTGGTTCTAGGTACGGTTTTTAACAGTGTCTGTATGCGTTCGTTAGTTAGGTATAGGACATTTGGATGTTTGTTAACGACACCGGCATGCTTGCGACGGTTTGCGATCGATAAAAACGTACTCGTGAATATGCTTAGCCGCCACCAGCCTAGCTAGAAATCGTCTCGTTAACAAGAGCCCTAATGCTAAGGGTTAGTAACTATTACTGTTTGTTACCTTATAAGCAGTCTAAATTTCGAAAAAAGTGCATGCTTTGCGAATAAGATCAATTCACGATATCAAACATTGCTTCATTATTATTTGAAAGAATGCTTTTGTTTGTATGTAATGAGATAAAAACTATCCTTTGTAACTTTCCAGTCCCCCGTAGCATGAGCAAGTTAGAATAATTTACACTATATCATGTTTTTACGCATCTAACTGTCAAACTTCATAGTAATTTGACAATTGAGCGTGATAAAAACGCTTCATATATCATATCGTGGTGCTAATGCTAGGGGGCCAGGGATTCAAATAATATAACTAGGTAAGTATCTTTATACAAAATTTCATGTAAATCTGTTCCTCAGTTTAAGCGTGAAGAAGTTACAGACAGACACAATTGCACATTTATATTATTTGTATGGAAGTATTGATAATCAACCTTTATCTTTTAACGCAGAGCAAAATTAGATTTTACCGTCAGTTTTGCAAAATCTAGGTCAAAAAAATAACAAAATTAAATGAGTTTAAATTTGATACTATAAGAAAAAGAAGACAGAGAAATCCTAAGATGTTGAACACGCAACATCTCACAAATCATTTCGAGTTATAGATAACCAGAAATTTATGTAAATTGCTGTCACTTAATAGCGGATACGTCCTTCACGCCGTGAAACATGTTATCTACGACGTAATAATCATGCATCATGAGAATTCTGTATATCTAAAAGGTCATAATATTACAGCGTAACAGGATAACGTCCAAATAATAATTAAGGTGAAGCCGAGATACGGTTCGGTCGAGAGCTCAGACGTGACTGCAGGGCTATTTTTCTAGATAATATTATCTTGGCTTTATCTCTTGTGTACCCCGAGTGGAGTAGAGCCACGAAACGAAGGAATCGAAACTGAATCGTATCACAAATCAAATAAGTACTTATCCGAAATTCTCCTGTTTCTTGGTGTTCAAACGTTCAGAATAATTGCTACAGAAAACAAAGGTGAGCAAATAATATTTCGGAACAATCGATGCCCTACTTGTTTATGTGTGTATATTGTACAATGCCCAATAGCTATTACCTAATATTTATAAAGAAACGCTTTAACAGAAACAATGTTTCATTGTTTGTACTAAGACATTATTAAGGAGATTCTTTTCGTGGGTTTTATGTGATATTGTCATAGTGCATAGTAAAGCGAATAAAATTATAAAAGGTGTATTATATAGTTAAATATTATAAGAAGATCTTAATTATTGTTTCATAAAATTTTATTATGTTTTTAATTACGCAAGCATTTTAGTTAAATTATAATATAAAAATAAGAGCTTTCAAAGCAAAGACTTTGTAACTTCAAATATATATCAGTAATTTCATTTTACAAAATACCATATATTTCTCATTTACCCCTATTCAAGTCAAATTTGTATACCTACGTACGTGTAGATTACGTTTAAAGTTACCTAAGTTATTCAAAATTCATCCAATTTACATATATTTAAGCTTTATTTGAATCGAATACATACTGTATCTATATCGGAACGCCATTCTTGTCGCAAACAAAATTAGATTCCCGGCACTGCGGCCAATCGGTGCTAGGCGCTTTCGTTTGACGTGTGTGGAAGCCACATAATTAAATACAGGCCTGATAAGGCCCAAAGGCTAAATTCCTCCGCTGTCTGCTCCGCTGCATCATCACAATTGCTGGGCACACAGGCAAAGATAATCCCTGCTGGCTCGCGTCCAACCGCCCATGCTGCGGACTTTTCAATGAACCCGTTGGAATGGAATATCTCGGCAGTGTTTCCATGAAAGAAATCAAGCAATAGAAAAATTTAACCAAATTGTTCGTTATGACATACGTAGGTACCTTTTGGTTGACAGCAGTGGACGTGTGTTCAGTTAAACGGAAAACCATTTGAGTACTCCGTATCTGTATTCATACGAATAAGTGGCGGCGCGGAGATATCATTGTTTAACAATAGAACGACAGTAAAGCGATATTTCATTGACTTGCAAATGTTTATTCAGTAGCTCTGTTAAACAAAGTCATATTTTTGGTTCCCAATTGTAAAAATAAAAATTAATAGTACGATTTCAGTAATATAAGTAGGTAAAGGTATGAGTAAATGAAATGAAATTATTGTTAGACAAAGGAATACGAGATACTACAGTGGAAAACTGGGTGGAGTCGATATTAAGACAGTTTTTTTATAGAAAGTCAAAATAGCCTCACATTAAGATAATATGCACTGGAGTGTCCGAAATAATGCTTCTTCTCTCTCAAAATTATCTCTTTGTTTTTACTATTGCGAATTTTGACCAGCAGAGTGAGGTTATATTTCAGCGTTAGAAATACGTACAGTAAAGCATATCGTATTTTCCTATGCTGCGGAATTCTGAGAAACTCTCACTATAATCTTTGTTCTCCATTCCACTCCCGTACAATAAGATGCGATTTGATTTTAGCTTTCCAATACGCTCGCTCGCTAGGATATGAAATGACTTTCATGCGTCTGTTTTTCCTGACCATTAAATAACTTGGATGTCTTCTAGACAGCAGTAAACGTGCACTCATTGGCAGTACGCGCACCATCGTAGTTTCCATTCTCGCTCACACAAAAGCCGCGACAAACGCACAAGCAGAAAGAATACGAAGAAACATACGTACCAACCCTCATGCCATGGTCATATTATAGCCCTTGCGGGGTTCACAGATTTTGAAAGATGAAAATACAACATTTAAAAACACAAAACTGTGAGCACTTATGGTTCACTTAGTAGACACAATGGTGATAGGTTGCCAACTTATTGTCTCCAATATTTTTCAGATAATACGCCCTGCTTGTTTCCATGCTTTCATTGTCTAAAATGGAATGTTAACAACTGACGCATTCTATATATTTTCCAGCAACAATTCTAGCAAACTGAATGATAATCTGGTAAACTTCTTAATACGTTGAAGTAATAAAAACAACGAAAAATATGGATATAACGTTGTGGTAACACTTGAAAGCGAGCGGTTGTATCGAATCAACGGCCGGCCGCAGGTGTAAAAAGTAGGTACCTACTCGTGAAAGGCGTTACCGAGTACTCTCGATATAAAATCGCTATTGCAACTTTTTTTTATCTATCTTACTCACATAAATGCTTACTCCATATGAAAATATTAATATCCTAAATGGGTAGCTGATATTTTATCTGATAACCAGTCTACGGGGTAGAAAACCGAAGAAAATATAGGTTTCTATTATGTTTTTTGTTTTTCTATAGGTAAGAGTATGTCATATGTATATATATTTTTATTTATTATGTGTTTGTACGCGCAAGTCCAAAGAATCACGTCTTGTTTGAATTGAAAAATGATGTTAATATTTAAGCTATACATACTTCGGTAAGTACAGTAACGAGTTCCAAAATCAGACAGTTAAGCAGTAGTACCTACTTGAAACACCGAGACCGTAAGTTTTTTTTTTCTAACACAAGCCAATTAGTCACCTCGCTACTATATCTACCAAAGTGTAAATCAGCCTTGAGATAGTCCATATATTTATTGAGAAAGCCTATAGACTATATAACATTACACAGGTATGTTGGTCGTAGTAATAATAGGTCTTTACCTATGAAATTGCCGTATTCTGCCGTACTGGCTATTTCAAATCACTTTTTTTAATTGTTCACTATTTTTTTTACTTTTTGTTTTGTTTTTAAAATATGGAATTACTTTTTTTGAATATTAGTCATTTGTTTAATAGTTAGCGTTCTGTACCCCTAGCACGAACCATTATCGAATTCGAATAGGTTGCAAACCAAAATGTCAATTTCAAATTTTGTATGGAAACTTGAACAGCAGCGGCACAAAGTACGTAACGAGAACTAAAAATCAGTACACATTTGACAACTAAGTTTGACAATGACATTTCGGACTCGCAAACGATACAAATTCGATATTGGTTTGTGCTAGGTAGGTGCTATACTGTTTTCAATACGAATTCGAATAGTTTTCAAACCGAAATGTCAATGTCAAAATTTTTATGGAAACTTGAACAGCAGCGGCACAAAGTACGTAACGAAAACTAAAAATCAGTACACATTTGACGATGACATTTCGGACTTGCAAACAATACGAATTCGATATTGGTTCGTGCTAGGGGTACTGCATTTATACATTTGGCGTTATCATGGATACGTTAAAAAAATCGAGTAATTATGGAGTATGAGTACCATAGTGGCAGCAAAGCGACAGATGTGGCACGCAACATCAACCACGTATACGGAGCGAACACTACTAACGATTGCACCACCCGTTCTTTGTTTGCTCGCCTCCGTTCTGGAAATTTCAAATTAAGAAATGAACCCCGTGGTCAACTGAAAACTTTAGTCGGCAATGACGAACTAAATGCGATTGTGGAAGCTGATGATTCTCATTCTACGGCTGAATTAGCAGCAGCTTTCGATGCATTAGCATCAAAACAATATTGGTCCATTTGCGTCCAACTGGCATGGTAAAAAGCTGTACAAATGGATGCCCCACGAATTGAATGATCGCCGCGCGAAGTACGCGTAGAGTTACGCCTTACACTGCTCAACAGGCACACAAACGAAGGTATATTGAATTGCATTGTTGCTTGCGACGAAAAATGAATCTATTCGACAATTGCAAGTGCTCAGTAAGTTGGTTTGATCCTGGTTCAGCACCTAAACAATGCCCCAAACGAAATCAGCCCCTAAAAAGTGATGGTCACTGTTTGGTGGTCTAGCGCCGATGTAATCACAACTCCTCACCAAATGGGATGAGCATTACTGCCGATGTGTACTGCGAAGAACAGAACACAATGATGGAGAAGCTCGCCCATCTCCAACCAGCTTTGGTCAATCGTTCGGCTCTGTTGCTCCTGTACGATAACGCGTGACCTCGTACTGCACAGCAAACGGTCTCCAAGTTACAAGAGCTGGGGTTGGATTTTCTCCGTCATTCACTGTACTCACCTAACCTTGCTCTACATACTTCTTCTTTTCCAGATTTTTTTAGCGGGGAAAAAATAATTAATCGAGAGGCAGTTCAAAATGCCTTTGAAGAATTTGTTGTTTGCCGTCCATGAGACTTTTATTTCGGTTTTATTTTGATTAATGTGAATAAAAAAAAAGGAAAAATGGGCGTTACCTTATTTCATGAAAATACGGTAATTTCATAGGTAAAGACGTATTAATAACTTTACTACGACAAGACTACGACTAACACGTGCGGAGACACAATAAATTTGTAGAGACGGGAACAATTTAAATTGAATTCAGTATAATTTACTCACCACCACGCACTTCACAGACCAGTACAAGAGCTGCTCCTTCTTCTAAAGGCCCCACCACACCCGACACGTCTGCTCCTGACTTGTCATAAAGCAGCATTTGATGTGGTGGCACTGAAACAAAAACGATAAATTATCTATATGCATTTTAAGAAAACTTTTGTTAAGTTAAACACATTTTGAATGAGTCTGTATTGAGATTGCGATTGGGTGGTCGCAATACTGCCTATATTTTACGACCACGGAGCCTATAAAGGGTATGGTAATGTAAAGAATAATGAAAAAATCGTACTTCTAGCAGCCGCCTACGTTACTATTTTGTCCACGTTAACTTTGTTTTTTTGGGAATTCCTCAGGAACATTAATTTCATTTTTTCGGGACAAAAAGTATCCTATGTCTCAATCCAGGAAAGAAACTATGTGTGCCAAATTTCATCTAAATCCATGCAGCAGTTTTTGCGTGATTGAGTAACACGCATACAATCATTTAAATTGGTATTATCAGGGTATCAATTATAACCAAATAATAAATACAATCATTCAAACACATAAACATACAAACCTTCTCATTTATAATATTAGTAGGATTCAAAATATTATTAGGATGAAAACTGTTACTAAAGATATGGTTATTTTAATCATACCTGTCTTTTACACACTTATTAGAAAATATATGAATGTTTGGGTTTTAATAACAACACATTCTTTTCATTGAATTGTGGAGAAATGCAAACTAAAATAATTTCAGTGAGTGCGTGTGCCCGGGTAGCGAAGAGTGCTGTTTCGTTTATAGCATTAGTACTTTGGACGAGTAAAATTTTTTGCAAGAGAGAAATATTCCCTAGATTTGAAAAATCTAGTAAAATATAACTATGTGTAACATACCAAAGGGCAGTATTCATCAATTCAAAAAGAACCATTTCATAAAAAAATATAATTAATAAATATTATTATTAGGCACGATATTGAGAAGTTCGGTGATTCAGTGGCTAACGCATTTGGTCTGTAATCGTGGATATTAAGCAACTTTCATGTTATTATTCTATAGCGATTTGAATTTTTGCTAACACGTTAAGGGCACGGATTTAAATCAAAAGAACATACACACCACCTTTTTACAACAGCAGGGGATTCCCTAAAGGCATTTCTTTTTGGTAATCGAGTATTCCACGATGTTATGAATCCCGATTAAGCTTGCGAGAACTCTTTGTGCAGACCGTTTCCCTTTGCTAACAAAAGACTCATAGTAAATTACCTCACTGAGTGAGCAACGTAATGGATTTCAATGGAGTTGCATATATGCTATGTAGGCTCATTTTAAACGTCTCGTTCTGAGCGAAAGAAATTTACTTCTCACGTCTCTCTTTGCTTGCATCTTTCGTCTGTGCAAATGGAGTACTTTCTTTGAATCGCTCAGCGTTATGTTTTTTTTGCATTTGTAGACACTATTTTCTACTCATTTAAAATAAGATAACATGCTCGTTGAATCAGACAGCTACACCTCCATACTATATAAAGATTCAGAATCGGAATCGCTGTGAAATAATTTACATAAAAAAATATTCTAACTAAAAAATAGAAGGTTTGAACACAATCAACCGAAATCCTTTGTTATTGGAACGTAACGTTTCAAATTCGAAATCCTCAGCTATTTAGTTACAAGTAACACAAACAAAGAGGTGTCTCTCCTTATTTATGGGATCAACTGAAATTTCATCACGGGCAATTTAATTTAATTAGATGTTGATATAATGAATAAGCCACTCGGTGAGACGGTTCGACACTCCACTGACCGAGCGAAGGGTAAACGGCGGTGGACTACCAAACTTTCTCACCAATAAATCTCAGTAAAACAAATGAAATTACACCGCAACTGATAGCTCGGGCCATTTGATCTATTCAAATCTAATTTCCTTTTAAATTTAACCTGTCTCGCGCAGATTTTATCTGTGCCATCGCGGAGGCACCGTTTTTATCAGCAATGCTGAGCGGGATAGTCGACAGTTCATAATTAAAATGTCGCTCGATGTCATTACTCGGGAGTCTGGTGAGCCCGCGACTCATCCGTAATGACTAAATTGATTCCCTGTCGCCGCCTCATAAAATTTCCATTTAAGATAGAAACTTTTGTGATCCGGTTTTACGAGCGCTTTTGTTTTTCCCTGCAGCAAACAGGCGCTCCATGTCTGGCATATTTTTTGTTTTCCTTTTCCGTTCATGTGTTCTTTGTTTCAGAGTAACATGGTAAAGTTATATAAATTGTATACTTAATAAGATTATTCATTTCAATTGCATTATCGAATATTTTTTTTTTGTTCTAAAGAATATGTCTAGGAAAACGTATCAGATGTTATGATGAAAACAAGTATAGTGTGAATTAACAATGCTGTTTTCTTATGCATTTAAAATGATGCTATAATGGTCTCACTTGTAAAGATTCACGTTCATTGAAAACAAAAAATAATTATATTTAGGGACAAAGTAACTCACGTTCACTGACGACCTCCGCGACCGAGTGGTTTATAGTGTCGCCTACTCGAGAGGTTCCGGGTTCGAATCCCAGTGAGGGCAGATGTTAGTATGATGAATACGAGCATTTGTACTTCAGTCATGGATATTTAATATATATTTCTTTACATATATATACGTATCAGTATATATATTCCAATCGTTACCCTAGTATCCCATAACACAAGCCTACAGTGCTTACTTTGGGGCTAGGCTAATTGGTGTGAAAAATATTTATTTACTTATTATTGAAAAAATCTACTTAGGACTTTTATTTCATTATAAAAAAGCTACAATTAAGAAATAGCAGTAATTCGTTTCAGAAAATAGCACGCGAGCGAGTTCCTGAAGTTCCCTTTAAGTCGGTAGCTTGTTATCTAGCTTTTACCAGCTTAGGGGCTTGGACCAAACGTCCTAAGGTCTAAGGACTATTACGCCCTAATTTAACTTTATCTTAGAAGTGTCTTCTTACCGATTACAGTGAGTCGTATCAGGAAGTTCTTCGTGAACGAGTTCTTGAAGTGTACTCTACATCGTTAGATACCTTTGTCGTCCAGCTGCACCGAGTTAAGAGTAAACGCCGCAGGCCTGGCAACTTCGCCAAGTACGCTCTGGTACCAATAATGCCCCAAGGTCTTACTACTGCCCCCTTATCCTAGGTGGCACCTTATCGATGACAGTGACTAACAACTGTGGTGAGTACGCTCTGGAACTAAATGCCCCAACAAGGGCTATGTATTGTAACGCCCTAATTCAACCTTATCCTTGATGTCTTCTTACCGATGATAGTGAGTCGTATCTGGAAGTTCCTCGTGGGCGAGTTATTGAAGTCCACTCTACATCAGCAGACACCTTCTTCGTCAAGCTGCATCGAGTTGAGAGTTTACGCCGCAGGCCTAACAACTGTGGCGAGTACGCTCTGAGACCAAATGCCCCAACAAGGGCTATGTACTGTAACGCCCTAATTTAACCTTATCCTAGATGTCTTCTTACCGATGACAGTGAGTCGTATCTGGAAGTTCTTTGTGGGCGAATTCTTGAAGTCCACTCTGCATCAGTAGAAATCTTCGTCGTCGAGTTGCATCGAGTTGAGAGTTTACGCCGCAGGCCTAACAACTGTGGCGAGTACGCTCTGGGACCAAATGCCCCAACAAGGGCTATGTACTGTAACGCCCTAATTTAACCTTATCCTAAATGTCTTCTTACCGATGACAGTGAGTCGTATCTGAAAGTTCCTTGTGGGCGAATTCTTGAAGTCCACTCTGCATCGGTAGACCCCTTCGTCGTCGAGCTGCACCGAGTTAAGAGTTAACGCCGCAGGTCTGGCAACTGTAGCGAAATATGCTCTGGGCCCAAACGCCACGGGGTCCGACCACTGTAGTGCTTTATTGAAGGAGCGCCCGCGGACGTCGAAACTGGTAACAAAAATGAAGACAACATTAGTATCATAATTTAAATATGTAATAATAAATGAAAATATTTATAGAGTGTATTTATATATTATATTCGGTAATAGTAATGATTACAAAATAAAAATAAGCCCATCAAAAGTAAATTGTCGAGATAGGACCAATAATGTGAAAAAATAATTGGAATTTATTCATCCTTATTAATGTGAATACACGTTTACCATTATTTGGATTAAACAATTTTCAGGGTAGACTGGGGATGAAAAAAATCACCAGCTACTTCTTCTTATGGGGATCAGCAAGAAAACAAAGCAAGTGGAGCGAGAAGCTTCGCTTGGTACTAGGAGCTAAGCTAATTTCAAAGTAATTAATGATAAATAACAGACGAACGACATTCAAACGCAGTTGGGCATACTACAAGAGATGGCCCCAGATAGCGACCTGCTTAATTTCTGTCATATATATTACCTTAGAACTGAGCATTTAAAATTAATGTATTTTCATACCTATTGGATCATTATGCCAAATTATTAGGCAATACCATTTCTCACGAATTATTATTAAAATATTATTATTTAAAATATAATTTCTCTAGCATTGTTGTGTATTTCGAAGTCCTTAAGATTATGGGTTGTTTCTTAATAATTAAAACGATTTGAAAACATGTCGACTCGATTGTAACAACATTAAACAAAATTGAACGAGTCGCGATTCCGTATGTGTAATTAAAACATTTCGTTAAACCATCGCGGGTCCGTTTTGTGTAGCGTGTTCGAGACCCGTGCATACTCGTATATCCCGCATTACATGTGCTTTGTCGAATTTCAATTTAGTCCTAGTCGTTTGGCTTCGAATAATTTTCAGTTTCACCTAATGGGCAGTTAGTGGATAAATTAATCGAATTATTTGAGTGGTAAATTTTAATTTATATTTTATTACGAGAAGAAATAAATTTTGAAATGAATAGCTTATCGCAAATGAAAATAATATTTATCACAATTTAAGACTAGTGCCACTTGCACTAAAGTTCTTAATTCAAATTTAAAAGCTAATCATGGTCAAGCCTCATTCTATCCCTATCTGACTTTAAATAATTGAGAAAGATTTATTGATGTGTATAACACGATTACACATTGATTTCAATTCAGAACCTTAGTGCAAATGGGCCGTCACTTACATTTTTTTTTTCAAACAAAACAGTAACTTACTCTAATATGTTATTAAATAGCTATCATAATTGATGCATTTCATATGTTAAATCGCTTATTCATTAGGCAAGATTTGTTTATAATATGTTTATAAGCCTTAAAAGATGGCGTTGCAAGTAAATGGTTGACTCTACATGATGTATTTCATAAGTTGTCTTGTAAATATTTGATGCTCTACTGCAAAGAGACGGGCTTTGACAAATAGTAAAATAAAAACATCGGCCATTGAATAAGAATGTTGATAAAGTTTTTTTCTTCGTCTATCTTATGGATTATCACAAAATATTATATGTATTTTTTCCTTTATCGCATAGTCAAAACATTACAGAGATAATATTATATTAATTTGAAATGTCGCATGACGTCACGTCTTGGTACAATTTTTACTTAAAAGTTATGTCACGAGCTCACACTTTTAAACTTTGATACTTTTTATTTTTCTATTTTTTATTTATTTATTGATTTGCCAACATTTATGTACACCAGTATTAGTTACCCGAAAATTTTGAGTTCTTGAAAGTCCAAGTGTAACAAATACTTATAGGTAAATAAATCATGCAATTAAACAAAATAGAATCGAAAAATAAGCTTAATCTAAATCCAAACACTACAATATTTTCAGGTAGGTACTGTTTTGTGACAAATTTATATAAATTAAACTGAAGCTTGTCAGGTGAGACAGACACAGAAAATATCAAGCTGAACATTTTTTTTGTATATTCATTAACCAACTTGCATATTCCTGAAATTTTAAAATATTAATTTTAAAAAGTTTTTAACAGACACACATACCCTCAGTGTATCTAAGGTGTCTCATCAACCTTTTCTGTATTCGTTCCAATTGAAGGGAATGTGTAGCAAAATGTGGCCTCAGTATGACGCTACAGTATTCTTATTATACTACGCACTAAAGCTTTGGACAAGAATATCTTAGTCCTAAAATTACGTAAGACTAGTATTTCTAAGCACAAACCCCAAAGCCCTCAATGCGCGATTTTTGATATTCTCTATATGAGGCACGGAAGTAAGTTTTCTGTCAAATATTACACTCAAGTCACGGACATGGTCCAATTCTCTGATTTCGATTGAGCCAATACGATATTGATATATGACTAAATGTCTCTTTCGCCCGTAATGCAAGAAAAACCATTTTTCAAAATTGAGGCTCATTCCATTTCATGCACACCACCTAACGCTCGACTTGACTCCTTCGAACAGAGAATTGCGGTGTTGGAGCAGCGTCAAGTGGATCCTGTTGCAACTGGTAGAATGCACTTGGAACGCACCATATCCGAGCTGCGCGCCGAGTTTAACGACCGCGATCAGGAGGCGAAGAGAGGGGCGTCAGCGTGGAGCAGAGCGTCACCATGCTGGCTGTGGGCGCGCCACCCGCCGAGGCGCGGGGCCAGCTGCGCCGTGTGGTGGTGCACCTGGCACGCCGCCAGCTGCTCGACGACCTCTTGACGGCCGCGCGTGTGCGCTGCAGGGTCACTGTTGCGAAGGGCGGCCCCCTGGCCACGGATTCTGAGGACGGCGCCACGGACACCGTTGATGAGAGCGGCCCGCCGGTCACCGCCGTGGCGGGCGGCACTCGGGTCTACATCAACCAGCGCCTCACGCGCGCCAACCGCCAGCTTATATAACTCCAAGCAGGCCCAACTGCCAGAATATCAGCGCTGGCGCGACACAATGTCATATCAGCTAACGCTGAGGCAGGATCCTGGTAAGCCTTTACTGTATGAGTTCCATTTAACATGTTGTATTTTAAGGGTTTATAAAAAATATTTTCTTTCTTTCTTTCTTTTAACACCCCCCACTGCGACCGAATAAATAATTACCTATATAATTGTATAAGTTGATAAAAAAATCTATGCAATAGCTTTACCGTGGCAATCCCCGAGTGCCACACGTATTTTAATTCAATCCGTCTTATCTATATCGGCACATGGTGCTTCAATAACAATCTTTTTATTTTGTAAATAAAAATAAATTCTAGAATAAAAGGACACGGTAGAAGTTTTTCAATTTCCGGTGCGACCAGCGTTTCACAATTTCCTAACCTCCACAGTCTAATTTATACAGCAAGTGGCTTTGATAGAAGATTTTGATTGCGCGCCCTGCTGTTTTCAGGTAAATTTAACAAGTTATAAACGCTCAACAAAATAATCTCCTGGGATATACAATTCTATTACATTATTATTAGATTTTTTTTTCTCTAAAAGCTGTTTTTTACGTGGCACACGTTTATTCAGATAAAATTGACCATAGACCGTACAAACAAATGAAATTTTATTTTTTAGACATGGACTGTTAGTTATAATTTGCACCTTGTCTATATATCTATCAGTTATAATTGACGTAATGGAAATACTAATTTCCATTACGAAAAAAAAAGTTATGAATACTTATTTATACATACTGAAAACGGGAAACGAGTGGAAAATAGCTAGACAGAGCGTAGTCCAATAATTTACGTGTTTCACTAATTTTGCTCATTTTATTTTTTTTCAGCGAAATCAACAATCAATTGGGGAGCTCGATGACGCAAGTGGTTAGCGCGTTCGGCTGCGATCGTTGAAGTTAAGCAACTTTCGCAGTGGTCGGTCATTGGATGGGTGACCAAAAATTTAATATCTCGAGCTCCTCCGTTCTTCGGAAGGCACGCTAAGCCGTTGGTCCCGGCTGCATCTGCAGTCGTTAACACCCACCAATCCGCACTGGGCCCGCGTGGTGGGTCATGGCCCAATCTCCCTATTCCATTCATAGGGAAGGCCTGTGCCCCAGCAGTGGAGACATTAATAGGCTGATGATGATGATGATGATGATCAACTTCAGCGTTGCAAGCTGAGCAAAGTACTTTTAAATATTACATTTTTTTAACCATTTAACTGCTAGATGTTTAAATCTAAAAAAACCTTTTTACATACACACATCAAAAGTGTCTAGGGATCAAGCATTTTTATGCGGATTTCATGAGATTGAGATGTGGCTTTGTAATAAATTTATGATTTTATAAATTTATATGGATCCTTTTTGGTGCATTTCATAATTTGAATCAGGAACTGTGAATCAAATTCGAGTAAAAGATGAAAATCAGCTGTCAATATTTTCCCTATAAAAACATACAACGCATTGAAGACATTATTAGTGCTACTGTTTCCCTACTACTGATTAAAACCAACGTTATTATGGAGCGGCGACGTCATTTAAGCAGGGAAGAAATGCTCAGAGCCGTGGGAATGATAGAAGCTGGTTCCCGGCAACGTACTGTGGCTTTAGCTCTGAATACAAGTCAGAGTGTTATCAGTCGACTTTGGACACGATACCGAAGCACTGGTACCGTGGCTGAGCGCCATGGAGGACGGTATCGCTGCACCACACGGAGACAAGACCGATACATTCAAATCTTAACTCGAAGAGCTCCAACAATAACCGCCATGATGTTAGCCGTGAGGCTTCATCACTCTTCAGGGAACTTAATTAGCGACCAAACAGTCAGAAACCGCTTGCATGAAGTGAACCTTCATTCCCGAAGACCGCTACGGGTACCACCTATAGCAATGCACAATCGTAGGATTCGATATCAATGGGCTCTTGAACACAGAAATTGGGCAGAAGAACAATGGCGTTTCGTGTGCTTTTCTGATGAGTCTCGTTTTGGTATGAGACCGGATACAAGACGTATACGACACTGGAGAACCCCTGGACGCCAACAGCGATTAAAATCCTGCCAGGAAGTCCATCCTTATAGTGGTGGAACCATCATGGTATGGGCGGGTATTTGGATCGGCGGAAGAACTGAGTTGATTTGGATCAGAGGCAACCTCAACGCTCAAATTTATGCTGAGACGATTGTATCAGACGTCATCGTTCCTCTACAAGTGCAAATCGGTCCCTTATTTCAGTTAATGCATGATAATGCACGACCGCACACCGCAAGAGTTGTAAGACAGACTCTCGCCGCAGCTAACATCAATGTCCTGCCCTGGCCTGCTCAGTCGCCAGACTTGAACCCGATTGAGCATGCATGGGATATGCTACAGAGAAGAGCTCTGCCGAATATGGAGGGTATCCAGTCGCAAGAAGACCTTTTTTTGTTGTTGCAACGAACATGGGCGGCCATTCCACAGCGTGATTTGGATGAACTCATTTTGAGTATGCCAAACCGATGTTCTTGTGTTGTTAGTGTTCGCGGTAGAAATACGGATTATTAATTGTTTAAGTTACCCAATCAAATTTTAGAGAAAACTGTTATTTCAGTCTTTTTTTCGAACTTTTGTGTTAGTGGTTCAAATGTCAAAAATCCCTTTATTAGGAAAATGGCAAATTTCTTTATTAATGCAAAGGTGACTTGGTTTATCGTTACTGTGACAAACGAAAACACTTTATTTGATGAATCCTTAAAGAAAATTTTAATTAATATCAATCAGGAGAAAAGTTATTGCAAAAATATATGTTGATCCCTAGACACTTTTGATGTGTGTATTTATCAGAATTATATACAATAGGGAAGATGACGTAGTAAAGTAAACGTAATTCTAATTATTCCGTAAGTAAGATTGTTATATAGAAATGGACAATATTTTTGTTGTCAATCAACCATAAAATGACAAAGATAAAGCGCGTCAAAGTTTGGGGAGTGGGAGCTCGTGACGTCACTTTTAGTAAGACGTGACGTAATGTTACATTTAAATTCAACATAATATCTGAGATGTTTTGATTATGTGAAAAAAGAAAATAACGTGTCTAATACTTTTTTATAATCCACCTGACACTAGAAGAAAAAAAAATAAGTAAATTTACTAATTGCATAGAATGCTCTGGCTGTCAACTAGCAAGAACGCCAAATACTATATATAAAGGGTTACAATTTTTTTTTACAATATTTTATTGTAATTAGCAATGAGAATATTTATTTATCAGAAAAGTATTTTCACAAATCAATGGACCCGATTGTATAAATAACAATTTCACATACCTTTGTTCTGAATTAATCAAACCAGTTAGAAGTAAAATTCAATATAAGTGGCAAGCAAACGCTACGCCTGGTATTTGTTCTTTTAACAGAATAACTTTGAATTTATCTTTGACAACAGCCAGATATTACGAGACTCTTTCATCTTGAAGGTAAATTCATAGTAGCCGAGCCCTCGCGAGAATTATTAAATAGAAGCCTTCTGGGCTTTTTATACCGTCAAAAGGAATACGGAGAACTTGTTAATATTAGTAAATATATTTATTTTGTATGTAGCCTTAATAACACTATTTTTCTGTAATAAGGATGGCGGCATATTTGTGAATACACAGGTAATTTGATTGAATATTTATTTATTCCCTTTTTATATATTATTATGTAAATATATTTTTAAAAATATAAGACAATTTTACTTATGTTAAGGTATAGAAACAATTTCTGCAGCAGTTAATATCTATGGAAAAATATTTTAGTGAAATAAGCATAAACTTGGGAAAAAAAATACTAGAAAAAATCCACGCGTCCAGGCTGCAAGGCAGCGCCATATTTCACGGGTTACCTACAATTCCAAAAGATGGCGCTGTCTTGCAGCTTCAGAAATAATAGAAGAAATTCGACACGACCATAAAGGCTTCGGTAGCATATAATTGGTCAGTGCATCCGTCCGGACAGTGGAGGTGGCGGGTGCAAATCCAGTCTGCTGCCTGGCCGCGTGAATTTATATCTCGTAAAAAAAAATCTTTAATTTTAAACATCTAGCAGTTAAATGCTTAAAAATGAAAATATGAGAACAATCTCATTAAAAAAGTGAACGATCAATTTACAAAAGGTTTGCCTAAATCTAAGTGAAAAGTCAAATCCAAGATCAAAAATGTCATTCCTTAGTGTTCTCAGATGTCCACTGACTTCATTTTTATTAAGCGTGTAATAAGTAATGAATACTTCATTTAAAAGTAAATAGTTTCAAATACGCTTATCGATGAGTAAATTTTTAAATTTGTGTGTAGTTAGATTGTTGGCTATTTATTGTAGCCAATGTAAATTTAAACTTACTTAGGTTTATTTTATCAAATTAAATTTTAGACTTAGAAATGGTTACTCGAGTTTTGTGAAGACTACAGACAGAGCCACGGTACGGTACGATATATACTAGCACTTAACTTTACATTTTTCTCAATTCACCAAGGCTAATAAGCTTGCCGTACGATTCATCAAACACATCGTGCAACCTTGGTCCGCAGCGTCAAGTGTGATTTCCTAACGAGCGCTCCCGAGATCGTAAGTGTGTTTCGTCGTATGAGCTTCCAAATTCTAATTGGATCACTCGGCTTCCCTTGATCCGTTTAAGATGGTGCCTCACAGTTCATTAGATACGACTTAAACTTCTAATTTAATCCATTTATTGAGTTTTTCAAAGCGTTAAGATTCGAAGTGATTGAGGGGCGAATGATGTGGGAAGACGTAATCTAATTTATAACGCCCTTTTTATGTTTATGTAGGCAGTAGACCTGACAGTACACCTGATTGAAAGTGGTCATTGCCGCCCATGGAAACTTGCAGCAATGGGTACTACTCATGCGTTGCCTTTTGTTAATACAGTAAAACCCGTTTAAGACGATTTCACAGGGACTCAACCAAAAACGCGTCTTAAGCGGGGAAGCGTATTATGCTGAATTGCGGGATAGGAAAATTTAGGTAGATTTTAGATGTATAATATTTAAGAATTATTTATGTTATAAAAAAAATAGTGTAATATTATTTATTATTACGTATTTTTAAATTAATCACTTATTTTAGTTTGTCAAAAAGATTTTGAGGCATTAGCATTATTACAAGATTTCAACATAAATTAACTTTTGCAGTGCAGTTTCGCTTTGATTCAAAGAATTAACATAGCGTCTTTAATCATGAACTGTTGATAATGCCTGGGCGTGTGACAAAGTCGGAGTTGATTCATCTTCTTTTTGATCATTATCACTTAGGGCCTCTTCTTGTGTGTTTATTCACATTCTCATTGAATTTCCGCAAGAGGTAATATGTGTGGTACGTTTTAGTTGGCGTTGGCAATTTAGGCGTATTAAACAGGATGACCAATCATATTAAGCGTTAAGAAATGTATGAAAACATGTCTCAAGTTGTAGAGACCGAGGTAAAAATGCGAGAAATCGTATTAAGCGTGATCGTATTAAACGGGTTCTACTGTAATATACTACTGCTTTCCATCGTATTTAATCCACATGGTTAATTTTTTTAACAGAAAAAATAAATCCGTCAGATATATGCTTAATTCGAAATATAATATCAACATCATGTTAAATTATTTTTTGTGTAAGTGGTACCTAATATGCAAACATAAATAATTTAGTTATGTTTTTATTTATTTTTAAGCACTTAACTGCTAGATGTTTAAATCTAAAGAAAAGGTTACTAGAAAAAAATCCACGCGGACCAGGCAGCGGACGGGACTCGAACCCGCACCCTTCGCAATCCGGGCGAATGCACTGACCATTATGCTACCACTGCCCTATTGGCCGCGTCGAAATTCACCTAGCCTTAAGCTGCAAGGCAGCGCCATCTCAAATAAATACGGGATTTAATTTAGATTAGCAAATTAAATCCCGTGTTTACAACAAGTGTGCTACAATCCAACCTCTTCAAGATGCATGTTTAGAAAAATGAGAAAATTAATCACCAAATACTTTTTACCTACGTTAGAATGTTAGCTCTACAGTTAATAAAATAAGAACACGATAAACTGCTGCAGATATCACTGATTTTATCACACTGACAATACAACAGTTTCGACTCAAAAAAATAAGCTTCATTAACTTAACAAGTTTCTGACAATAGAGTACTCACCTATAAATAGGTTTCCCTCCACTCTTCCTGAACCACAACACCATGTAGACTCTGTCCTCGTTCGCGTCTGGAGTGACGTCACAGGGCAGGGACGCAGTCCGCCCCAGTACCGCATCCACGTCGACAGTAGAAACTGAAACAAAAGAAAGTATGGTTAAAATAAATTGAAACGTAAGCACATATACACATTCCTCGGGTAGATAAACATATTTATAAATATAATCAGCGACCGCACCCCGGCTTTGGGCAATAAGTGCACAGTCTGTATAAATAAATCTTTAAATCTAAAGAAAAAAAATACTAGAAAATATTCCAGTCGGTCCAGGTTTCAGATAGGATCGGATTTCATCTCGTCAGAAAATTGTCTGGTATAATTTTCGCTAGATTTAAACATACTAAAATCTTGCTTCCAAGTTCGATAACTTTAATTTTACACATTGGTTAAGTATGCATTACGCCATTCATTTGGCAATTGTCAAAAATACGAATAAATGAGATTGCATCCAAAATCGATATGCTGGTATTTTTAATTGATTGATATAGATATTTATTTTCGCGCACGCTAATTTATAACTGGTATGAAGCGCGATATATTGAAATCACAAACGTTATGGAACCTTAAACTCAGCCTGCGTAGTCTCAAGACTGATTATTTCTGCTGGATTTTCTAAAATCTTTCTTTCCCACAAAGTTTGTCCTGAAATCAAAATCTTAACAAGAAAACATACAGACAAACCATTCGAGCCGTTTTCAATTCATGCTATCCGTATGGCGTAATTATAAATTAAGTATAGATTTTCAACATTCTTATGTATCCCTTTATTCTACAAACGTGGCTTGCATTATAAATAACTTCACATTTATAATGACTGCATTTGATATTGGAAACAAATGTAAAATACTACTGGTTCATAGCATAGACATTTGATATCTGCATGAGAAAGGTTATTTTCATGTTTTCTTCATGTTAAAGTAGAATAATTATTAGAACATGCAAGACTATTCTCATACATTCATGAATGAGAATATTGAGAATGTAACTATACAATTTCATTTATGTCTCTCTGCAATTAAGTTACTAGCAAGACATTGTCATGCTCATTTGTAATAAGTCGTAAGTAGGTAAATGTTAATTCAGGTTGGAATCATATCAACTCCCTTCGCTTTTCGGGTGAATACACTAACCTGTGAATATGCTACCGAGACTTTAACAGTCGTGCCGAATAACTTATTAGATGTTTTTAGTTCTTTAAATATTTAATTGTTTTTTTTTAGTAAATCAAGTATTTTCGCAGATTTCGCTGTAAACATACTCGTATTATACATTAAGGAAGAAACTTTCAGGTTATATATTTGAAAATACCCTTCTTCAGTTGGATTTATCATAAAACATCTGGAATGAAACAAAACAAGAGATCTTGCCTCGAAACTTTGTAACATTTTATGGCCAAAACAAAACGATATAGTGGCACAGTTAGCCTTAAAACTCACATATCTCGAGGATAATGAAATTTTAAAGTTGCAGCACTATTGTGTGCTTACTTCTCTGTCACTTTATTATTCATGAAAAGCGGACAAGAAAATAATATGAAATACAAAACAGTTTCCATTCACAGTCCGACTGAGTAAACACGCTGCGCGAGGTGGCGACGAACCTCCATGGTGGAAGAATTTAAATCGCCACAAGACGAGGGGATATTTAATAAATTCTGATCTCTATCCGGTTCATTATGCGATTCGGAGACGGGTGACAGTGCCCGGGTCAGCCCCCATTTACATTTAGAATTTAACCAAAAAAGGGATGTTAAATAAAATTTATTACGCCCTTGACAAAAAAATAACTCGAAGCATAAGACACTTCTCTACGGTTATAATAAAATAAGGAAGAGAAAAAGTAAGCAAACGAATCCCTGGTGTAATACATTTATTCATTACGAAAGTAATTTAATGAAAACCTTGGTAAACTGCCATCGAAACATTCAACTTGTGTTCTGTATACAAAAGTGTAACCAGGTGGCGAATCTAAATAAAAATAAATTAGGTATTTCAGTATAAGATTATAGTTATTATATTTATAATTTATGAGCATTTAACTGCTAGATTTATAAGCGTGGATAGCGATTGCCCGGTGGATTAACCTCCACCCTACAGAAGATTTGATTCGGCCAGGGTATCGAGCTGGATGATTGAGGTTCCAAGCCTCCACGAGGTAGATAAGGGTAGGCAATGGAGCGATACTTTGGCATCCCAAGCGTCTTTTTGCTATAAATGGATTCAAATTTTGAGAAAAACCTGTAATGTGTTTATATTGTAAACAATTTTGGTTCAGACACTACAGAAGAATAAGTATTTACCTAAACCTTCAGTGTTCAGCACTAAATAGTAATTGTTTTGAATTTCTTCGAAACAACAATTTACTAAACGGCAACACGCGTCAGATATAACTTCCAATCTGTTACGTCGTTACGATTGAATTTGTCCCAAACGCTTTGCCAGTTAAATGAATTCATGTTGTTTGCCTTCTCAATCAATTCTGCTACAGACCCCTAAACAAAGTGCTGAAGTCTAAAGGCCGACTAGCTCAATTGCTTTAGTTAAGGGCCGACATTTATTTCAACCGCGTTTATTAGGGCTGACAATGTCACCTTAATTATTAAGGCAATAATGATTTTAGTTCTATCGCTTTACTGCAAAAAAAGACTGGGTACAACTGAAGCACAAAAAACAATGATTTCTATATACACGTAGACACCATACATATTATGATATGATAGATACTAAGACCCACTTACAGCAAATTTACTAAATCTCGATTCAACTAAAATGAGCATAAGGCCCACTTCTAGCACATTTGCTAAATCATTATTCTAGATTAAAACTAGTTTTAACCCATAGGAAAATGATAAAACGTCAATGTCAATTTGTAATTTATTGTATGAACTACATCTAATTTTAGTTATATTGAGATTTAGCAAAATTGTTGCAAGCGGACCTAAATCCATAGAAATATGCCAAAACTTCAATGTCAACTTATTATTAATGTACAGGCTGAATCTAGTTTTAGTTAAATTTAGATTTTAGCAAAATTGCTGCAAGTGGACCTTAATCATTCAACCATATATTATGTCAGCACGAAACAAGCTTCAGATACAAACTCTACGGTGCTAGCTACACATTTCGCTGCCAGTGAAATGCAATTTATTTGCGTCCTCATACTCAACGCGACAACAATTCAATTCTGCCACAGGCCCCTAAACAAAGTGCTGAGGCCGGAAGTGGCTGACTGGCTCAACTGCCTCAGTTGAGGGCCGACATTTATCTCAGCCGAGTTAATTAGGCCTCTTTGAGTTCCTTTTATTATGCACGCCCATTAACCGTATAAGGTGACGACTGTAACGATGAATGTACGTATTATTTTAAGTAATTGCTTTTTGGAATGATTGCGGTCGTGCTGTTTGTAATTACGGTATTTTGACTGGTTTAATTGAAGTTGCATCTTTATAACTAAGGTCCGCTTGCAGCAAATTTAATAAATCTCGAATCAACTAAAACGAGATAACCCATAGAAAAATGTCAAAACGTCATTTTGACATTATTGTGTGGACTATGTAGCTAAATCGAGATTTATGAAGTTTGCTGCAAGTGGGCCTAAGAGGCCAAGTTAAAAAATTTTGTTTGCAATGATATCGAAAAAATCTATTTTAAATATAGAATCTGGCATATTGTATTCATAAGACATGTGCAACTTATTACAACTTGAATCCGAAAAAAGAGAAGTGAATTCTACTCGGATAAGACTTTTTTTAGTACCTACAAGTATATTTAATTGTACATGATTATAGACCAATCAAACGACTTCTGGTATTTTTTTAGTTTCTTGATAAAAATAATTCTTAACAAAATTACTCACGTAAAAATTTAAATAGTAGCGTCTAAAACAACATTCTACATAATAGCAACATAAACAAAATAAAAGAATTTTACAAAACACTTCAAATGTCGCAACAGACTACATAAGCACTATATAACATCACACGCCGAATAAAACAAGTCACAACTCAATTTCAGTGACAAAGGACTCTAAGCATCGCCATTCAGTGGAAGCACTATTGTGAAGAATTCATCTCGATTTTGCCACGAATTCGTATAGAACGTGTTTGGAAAAAACACTTTGTGGAATGATACAAGAAAAGTTTGGAATGAAACATTTTGCTTCATTTGTAACTATATAGTACCCCGTTTATTTATTATACCAAATATTTTTAGCGCTATTTACACGATGATGCAATTTTCTTGTACATACAAGAGCAATATATTGTTTTAACTTTCATGCTCACTAACATTATAGTAATATAAGTTATTTACGGGATTGTTACCATGTACCTTGTTTTTAGCGAGTTTCCGATATTTTGCCACTGTTGCAAGCGCCATGAACGCAGAAATCAGCCATCGCGGATTGATTCTGGTCCTAACCACTGGATTGAGTTTTATAACCCACAGATTATCTCGACAGAACGCCACTACATACCAAGATTGGTCAGAGAAGCGATTGCAATAACGAAACATACAAATTTCAATCGTGAGGACGGGTTTTAATTGTCGGGTGTCTGGAATCCTGTGGTTCGTATGTGTAAAACCGGAAATAATCAAAAAAGTGTCGTGTCGCGATCCGATACTGTAAGTGTTGTGTGTCGAGAACAGTTTCGATTGAATAGTGAGAATGTGAACAGTGGTACGGGTATCGAACGCAATAAAAAACTTCGTCGGAGGGTAGACCGATATGTCTGCCAATACTAGCCTACCCGCAATTACTTCAGTTACTCCGTGATCATGGCGCTTGCAACAGTGCCGAAATATCGCAAACTCGCTATAAACAAGTTACATTGTAACAATCCCGTAAATAACTCATATTACTATAATACAAGAGCAATAATTGCATATAATTAATGAGGCGCAATAATTGAATTAAGAATTGTAAGCAACTGTTTACACGTGGACATAGTAAAAAAGGTTGCATACAATTATTGAATGCCAGTTTTGACAGAAGAGAATTGCAATTTACTTTTGATTACACTCTACGCCGATACAATTATTGTAAGGAGATTATTGCTTTCAAGTATTGACATGTCTAAA